AGAAGAACGCTAGGGATATTATTTATATCAAATGTATAAAAGATGACGAAGGGAAGGTTTTGACGAAGGAAAGAGAGATAAATTAAAGCTGGATAGGTCAATTGCTGGGAAGGATATTTCTTATTTATATATTATACAGGGTGTCCCAAAACTCAACGTCAAGCGGTCACTGGGCGAGAGGCCAGGTTATATCAGTTCTGGTAAAAATTAAAAAAAAATCCATGTCACTTAGTTAAGTAATAATAGGCATTTTTTTGAAAATGTTGAAAATCGATACCCTAGACCACATGTTTAGGTACTGTCATCACAAATTTGCAAATTTTGGAGTGATTTTTTTAACGTCATCATAAATAACTATGCTATTTATTGCAGTCACAAATCAAACAATAAACGTTTTGAGTTTAGTAAAAAAAGTAAGTTCCATTGAGTCGTAGCTTAAAAAAAATATGTCAGCTAGCTTTGACACTTCATTTTTTTTTTAAATGTAGTACACTACCCTGGGCAAGTTATTTTAAAAGATGGCCCATATAATCAAGATTTCAAAATGGTACAATACTTGCCACTCTTCATTCCATAAAAAATATTATAACTTATTTTTTGCAAAAGGAGCTCGTTTAAAAAAAACTCATGCCATGATAAATAATACTTTTGTGTGCTCTAAGATTGGCTTTAACATCGCGGAAGTGAGATGGTCATATGTGATAGAGTGAGATGGATAGTGACAACGCATTAAACAAAATAATCTACCCTAACACATGTGAGTGTGTCAACTTAATAATTAATCGATTGTTGTATTATAATAAATTTCTAAATCTAGCCCAATTACGCCACAAAATTGTTGAAGCAGCAAAAGAAATTAGTTTGAGAAGATTCGCACGATTGATAAAAAGATCTTTTGTGAGGCGATGCAGAGCCTGTATTCGTGCCGAAGGCAAACAATTTGAGCATTTACTTTAACATTAAAGTATTACAATAGTTCCTTTCGTTTCATTTTGATTAAAATTTATTATAATACAACAATCGATTAATTATTAAGTTGACACACTCACATGTGTTAGGGTAGATTATTTTGTTTAATGCGTTGTCACTATCCATCTCACTCTATCACATATGACCATCTCACTTCCACGATGTTAAAGCCAATCTTTGAGCACACAAAAGTATTATTTATCATGGCATGAGTTTTTTTGAAACGAGCTCCTTTTGCAAAAAATAAGTTATAATATTTTTTATGGAATGAAGAGTGGCAAGTATTGTACCATTTTGAAATCTTGATTATATGGGCCATCTTTTAAAATAACTTGCCCAGGGTAGTGTAGTACATTTAAAAAAAATGAAGTGTCAAAGCTAGCTGACATATTTTTTTTAAGCTACGACTCAATGAAACTTATTTTTTTTTAACTAAACTCATAACGTTTACTTTGTTTGATCTGGGACTGCAATAAATAGCAGATTTTTATGACGACGTTAAAAAAAATCACTCCAAAATTTCAAAATTTGTGATGACAGTACCTAAACATGTGGTCTAGGGTATCGATTTTCAACATTTTCAAAAAAACGCCTATTATCACTTAACTAAGTGACATGGATTTTTTTTTCATTTTTACCAGAACTGATATAACCTGGCCTCTCGCCCAGTGACCGCTTGACGTTGAGTTTTGAGACACCCTGTGTATTTTATATTCTTCATGTTATATAATATTGAAATAAAATTTATGTATTTTTTAAACTTAATTATGCTATTATTGGTTTGTTTATTGTTTCGTTGATCGCATTCAAAGTTACATACTATCGCTTTCTTTAGCTGTCATATTTGGCCTCTTATTTGGTGACGACTTTACGTTAGACTTCAAAGACGCAAGTATTTCAAACTTCTATAGACCCTATATTGTTGAATAATGCCAGTGACTTTAATGACCTTGAGTGTTAAAAAAAACTTATAAAGGAAAAATCGTCACACGTATAATAATACACTGATTTACATATTTACGTCCCCACAATTGGTTTTGAAACATCCGATCCCCAGTTTTCTATTGTTTTTCTTTCTTTAAATTTCACCTTATCGAGTGAGTCATGTTGCAGCTTCGTTTTCTTTACATCTAGAAGATTTAAGAATTTCTCACATAACCCTTTTTCCATATCCACTTTTAAGTTCAGGAATTCTTCAGTGTCATTTAGGCATCTTTGGTAATCCAGCCTAGTAGTCTCAAATTTATTTTGTAGTTTTTCAACTTTAAGTTTTAGGTGTTTATTCAAAGTTAATAGTACTTCAACCAGATCTGGTTGTACATTTGTTTGACCTTTTACAATTTCTACAGGAAGAAAACCTTCTATTATGATTTGATCATTCAATTTTCTTTTCCAGTAAAAGAACCCACTCTTAAGTTCATAAATGTAATCTTTCCTTTGCCGAGATAAGCTATGCTTAACTTTTTCAAGGTAAGCTGTCTCATTTATGTGAAGATTTTTACTGAACCCGACAAGTCGCTTATATGAAAATCGACCTTTCCATAGGATCTCGTTCACGTAAATATATATTTCAAATGAATTCGTTTGCCAACCTACCATCAAAAAGCATTTACCATCTTGAATTTTGATTTTAGTGATGGTTATTGCGTCATCGAGATCCATGGCAGATTTTAGATGATTATAAATTACTTTCTGATATTGGATCGGATGTTATTTGCTCTTCTTCTTCTTTTTGCTTATTGGCTGTGCCTTTAACAGGATTTCGTCTGCGTCATGTTTTGTAAAAATAATGTATAAAAATTATAGCGATCGTCGCCTATGTCAAGTTCAGTAAAATTCAATTCATCTAATTTGTTGATATTATTTAAGAAAACTTGATGAACTTACGCCATTACTAGAATTTTTGATATCGTTGCAAAACGTTGTCATTTTCTAAGGTTCATAAATGATTTCTCTTCGCCAAAAGAGAATGTATAACGAAATATCAATGTCAAAGGTGTTTGTTTGTCTGTGTTAATCCTCTTTACTACTAAACCGCAAAAAGCCAAGCAAGAAAGAAAAAAATATCTTCACCACGCTAGAAGCGTTATTTGTTGAGAGCGTAAATTTTAAAGCGTGAAAACTCGGTCACGAAAATATCGCCACGTTTGAAGAGTTATTCGCTGAGAGCGTCAATTTGAAAGCGTCAAAATACACCCACGTTGGTGCGAATTACCAACAACAGTATTTTGACGCTCTCTCGGTGGTGGGAGGAATAGTTCAGTTCATTGCGATCACACGTCGTCATTACACGCGAAAATGTCGCTGTCAAAAATATCTAAATATTGTTTTGAAAGTAGTGCTTTTTTCACAATAGTCTGTTGGACAGTCTGGAAAAAGAATTTTAATTTCTTCTCTCAATTGTTTTATGGCAGTCCCGATCTTGTTGTGGATGTGAACTCATCCACAACGCAGGCTGAGTTTGTACTGCCGTTATAAATTCTTCTACATTTATAATTAGTTAAGCGAAAAGCAAACAAAATAATTTGTTTTAAACGCTGACGTGCGTAACTTTCCCGCAAAAAACGTACGTCAGATCATCCAACGCTCGTACAAACCCGCTCGTAGCGAATTTTGCTGCAAGTTGGAGCGCTACTTTGTGGCCTTTTACAAGTAAAATAATATATTTGTAATTGAGGCTCGACGCTGACGCTAGTAGTGTCAAGCGAATTCGCTAGGAGCGTCGCGGCTCTTGGCTCTCTTGGTCTCTCCATATTATGTTTTTTATTTCTGGCTTTTCGCGGTTTGCATTTGCACTGCAAACTTTTTTGACGAATGGATCGGTTAACAAAATGTATTAAAAAAACAAATAAAATTATTATCTATGTACGTGTACATGTAGTACGTGTCGCGCGGTTGCTTGGCCGTATATATATAAATACAAGGAATACGAATATTTATCGACGGTTCTCACCTGTTCTCACGCAAAGGAACAGGGTAAGAGGAAATGTTGGAAGAAGAAGTAGTCAAATTGGGAATAAGTCATTTTCTTAAGTAATGTAGGCCACACATAAAATCGACACTCATATAAGTAATTGCTATTTTTTACATAGAATTTCGTATAAAAAAATATTGAGCCTTAGAATTTACTTCAATTCTTAGGCTTAATTTACATTGCACTTAATAGCATGCACTTGCATGCTCCACCGCCGACATCATCGTCACTTCCCATTCGGTGAGATGAAGGTTAAATGTGCATTTATATTTCTATAAAAAAGTGTGACATGCGAAATTTAATACACAAGATATTTTAAAAAAATCAGTGTCCATATTTACCTGTGCATAAGATTCAGTAACTAGTGAAATAAAATAATAACTAAATCCCAATTTTTGCTGTTTTAAAATGTTAACATTTCGAAATAATTTTTAACGGCGGTTTCCTCAAAATAGTAAATAAAACTCAAGCGACTGGTGGGCCTTGCCATGTCTGGGCGCCACCGTACCGTCACGTCACGTCAGACGCGAGTGTAGCGCAGGCATGGGCCATGCCTTAGCTACATTCGCGTCAGTCGTAGCCATGCCACATGGCTAGTAGTCGTCGGTCCTCCAGTGAATTGACTGTGAGCGGAAGTGACATATTTCATTGCGTAACAATTTATTCTTATCGGGAATATTACGATGATTCTTTTTTTATGGCATGACTATGAGATGGAGAGCTACGACCCCAGGGCTTAGTAGATCCAAGGGTTCCTCAATAAAGCGCAATTTAAACGGCAAACGAACGCTTTCTCGACAAGGGCCAGTTTACGTAATCAATTCATGCGCACGGAGGTGGTCGGCAGCAATCCTTGTAGAAGTAGAAGATAAAATGCGGTATGCGACAAATTTTAATTAGTGAGTACAAAGACCGATAAATAGGCCACGGCGGACCAGTAGCTTGGCCTCTCGGGTCACCCGATGTCATTTTATTTTGAGAGGTTAACGAAGTTAAACGCTATATTTATGTCAACAAAGCTCAAAGCCGTGACGAACTAATCAAACATTACCTATTGGCGTATTTGACGTTTTAAAAAGTAATCTTGTAGTGCTTCGAAAATTACGGAGGTACGTTGTTATTACATTATTTCAAATAAAGGGTCAACGACAACCACAGCAATTACCCTATCCTACCCGGAACAGAGCTAACCGTTCGGCCACCACCGAAGCTAATAACCTCACGCGCTGTTTGGTCAGAATGTCATTATGTACTTTAAGACATTAACAACAACTTATCTAATTGTCAAGTAAGTATTTGAAAAGAAAACTTTTAACGAAAATTTAGGATCACCACCGGTCAAATTCTTCCTGTCTTTCACTTACTTTGAACCTCACGGATACTCCTGTGGACGTTTGAGGAGCTAGATCCTCATCTAGCTCTGAGGAACTCGGCCTCATCGGAGATGAAACGGTTCGCAAAATTCGCATACCGTCTTTCTTTGTCTCTTTAGCGCCAGATTTTCTTCGTAAAAACTTAATGAATAATTGATAGACACGCATAGACTATAATTGTAAGTCACTGTAGACACGAGACATTTTCATGGCATAAAATGACTATTAAATTTAAATCATGAATTATAAAGATATAAATATTTAAATTAAAAGCATCGCTTGTCTTCTGCCCCAGGGGTCTAAAGAGTGGTAGTAGAGAGAGATATTTCGATCTATCAAAAATATTATACAAAATTTATGGTTATAGTCTTGTTAGTATTGACCTACCAATAGAGAAAATTCTCTTCATTTGACATTTGTAAGCGAGGTAATTTAACTCTCAAAGCACTTATTGCTCGCGCCTGTAAAGACTAAAGGATGGAAAAAATATAAAATAATATTAGGGTAGAAACGGTTAGCGATAGGCCTGGTAGGATAATTCGTAGACAATTCGTAGTGACGTCATTTTCGAGAGAAAATTGACGGTTTGTTGACAGGCAGAAGAAGAAATACCTTAGAGGATGGAAAAAAATAAATAGTCTAAGAGAAATAAAGAGAGGACGGAAAGAAATACACACAGAAAATAGACAGTTGACAGAAGAAGAAATAAAGAATATGCAAAAAAAGAAAATGAATATGAATATGAGATAACTTTTGTTGTTTTTTTTTTCACCTCTAAGCGTAATCTAGTTCCTTTAAAAAAACATTGAGAAATTTATTATAGTTTAGTCCATGGACGTATTTATTTAATGCTTAGAGGATGGAATAATAAGATTTAATCCAAGGCCAAATCTGACAGCTAGAGAAGCCATAGTACGTAACGCGCCGTCCATCAACATCTTGAGTCGGCTCGACCAGAAATGCTGTTCCTTACGGAGACGCAAATACTCTGCCCGGCTGACAGCAGCTACTTGAATTACCCTGGCTATATGCTTGAAGAGTCCTTCAAAGCGAAAGCTGGGGTCTGCTTGTTTGTCCGGGCAGATGTTTGCTGTCGCCGTCTGCGTCATTTGGAGGACCCCTCCTTCTCCATCCTTGGGGTACATGTTGACCTGGGCAGTCATTGCCGTGTCTACATGTGCCTCTACAGATCCCACCACGGCGACATGGAGACAACTCGTCTCATGGACCACCTTACTCGGGCGGCAGATGACGCGCAGGCGCAGTTTCCTACAGCGGAATTGGTGTTTTTAGGGGACTTCAATGCTCACCACGAGTCGTGGTTAAGTTCCTCTAAAACTGACCATACTGGAAGAACTGCCCACACATTCGCTCTCACACACGATTTAACCCAACTGGTGAATCAGCCCACCCGGATTCCAGATAGGGTGGGTGACGCGCCCTCTTTGTTGGACCTTCTGCTGACGTCTCGCCCGGCTGGATACCGGGTGGTGGTCCAAGCCCCTCTGGGCACTTCGGATCACTGCTTGATATCCACTAAAGTGGCAACGTTACTGCCACCACCACCTACTGTGGCTAAACGCCGCATTTGGCATTATGCGTCGGCAGATTGGGACGGTATGCGGGACTATTTTGCATCCGTTCCCTGGCGGCAGCGCTGTTTTATTGAGGTGGATCCAACAGCTAGCGCGACTGCCGTTGCTGATGAGATCTTAATCGGGATGGAATACTACATCCCGCATTCGGATCTCGTCAGTAAAGGGAGGCGCAACCGCTGGTTCAACCGCGAGTGTGCTGTGACTGTTGAGAACAAACAGACTGCATACCGCGCTTGGATCAGGGGTCTAGCTTCAGACGATCCCAATACGAACTCACTTAAAACAGCCTACAATAATGCCACCAGGTCTTGCAAAAGAGCGTACATCAGAGCGGATGCTCAGCGCGTCGCACGAGTTGGCCAAGAACTCTTGACGCATCCCACAGGTAGTCGTAGCTACTGGTGTCTGGCCAGAGCCGTTGCGTCGAACTTCTGCCAGCCCTCGCTGCCACCGCTGAGATATTCTGACGGCAATCTAGCCCACAAGCCGCAAGATAAAGCCGACCTCTTGGCAAATCTGTTTGCGGCTAACTCCTGTCTCGACGACTGTAACGCACAGCCACCAACTCTACCTCACTGTGGCTACACGATGTCTGATATTCGTATCAGACAATGCGATGTGCGTACACAGCTGCAGTCTCTCGACGTCCGGAAAGCTAGTGGTCCTGATGGTATCCCAGCGATTGTACTTAGGAATTGCGCAGCTGAGTTCTTCTCTTCAGGTCGTGTGCCGGACTCTTGGAGAGAGGCTAATGTGCAACCAGTTCCCAAAAAAGGCGACCGATCAGACCCGCATAATTACCGTCCCATAGCCATTACTTCCATAATATGCAAGGTTTTAGAGCGGATCCTTAATAAACAACTGACCCAATACCTAGAAGATCACTCCATAATTAATGATCGGCAGTATGGGTTTCGTCCGAAACGATCAACGGGTGACCTTCTAGCGTACTTATCGCATATTTGGGGTGAGGCTATAGACAAACGTGGCGAATCGTTGGCTGTTAGCCTCGATATAGCCAAAGCGTTCGATCGGGTCTGGCACAAAGCTCTTCTCTCCAAGCTCCCGGCGTACGGTTTGCCAGCCCAGTTATGCAGCTGGATTGCCGATTTCCTTCGTGAACGGAGAACTCGCGTCGTTTCTGACGGCAGCATTTCGAGGTTCGTGAATGTGAACGCCGGCGTACCGCAGGGATCCGTCCTATCTCCCACGCTTTTCCTTCTGCATATCAATGATATGCTTCCACTTGGGAATATTCATTGTTATGCAGATGATAGCACTGTTCATGGGGGATATCATGGATTCCCCGCAGCTGGGCGCGCCGATACTGACAGAGAGCGATCTGATCTTGTCGTTGAGCTCAATAGGATATTGGACCTCATATCTGCATGGGGATCCAGTAATCTTGTTGAGTTCAACGCCAAGAAAACACAGGTTTGCGCGTTAACAACAAAATTGTCGCCGTTCCTTCCCATGCCTTCTCTGATGAGCACAGCACTTTCACCTCAGAGCAGTTTCACCTTGCTCGGTATGGAAATCTGCTGTGATTTGAATCCAAGGAGCTACATCGAATCTGTGATCAAAACAGCCTCACGGAAACTCGGAGTCCTGAACAAGGTGCGACGTTTTTTCACGCCGGACCAGTTATGCCTGCTGTACAAAACACAGGTCCGGTCTTGCGTTGAGTATTGTTCGCACTTGTGGGACGGCTCCGCCAAGTACCTACTCGATGCCTTGGATAAATTACAGCGTCGTGCTACTAGAATTATAGGCGACGAAGAGGTCTCATCACGCCTTGAACCTCTGCAACTGCGTAGAGATGTTGCATCGCTTAGCGCCTTTTACCGCATGTACCGTGGTGAGTGCTCTGAGGAGCTGTTCAACCTCATCCCCCCTTCCCCGTTCCTGCTCAGAAGCACGCGTGCTGGCCTTCGTAGTCAACGTTTCACTACCTGCCGCATTCCATCGCGTACTAAAAGGTTTGGTGGCTCCTTTCTCTGCCGCACGGTTGACAAATGGAACAAATGGAATGGAATATCGCTAGGTGGTTAAACCATTAAGTTTTTACCTAGCGTTAATGTAATAAAATAGTTAATGTTTTTGAAATTGAATAAATTAAAAAAAAAAAAAAAAAACTCCCTTCCGGCACATGTCTTCCCTCCCTCTTATGATATGGGGTCCTTCAAACGAGGCGTGAAGAGGCATATTGTAGGCAGGCAGGGTGGAGGCGGCTAGTGCAGTGAGGATTCCATCGCTGCACTAGGTTCCTTCGCGTTTGGATACCACTTTCCACTTAACATCAGGTGGAGTGGAGTCATTTGCCTGTCAGGTATAAAAAAAAAAAAAAAAAAACTTTGAATACGATCAACGAAACAATAAACAAACAATTATTAGCATAATTGAGTTTAAAAAATACATACACATTATATAATATGACAAAACATATTTGAAGTGCTGTTATCGCATGAATTATAATATAAAATGCAATTTTGAGTTACTCCGAAACGTCCTGAGAACAGTTACGTCCCAAAGTTATTTTTTTTTAATAATAGTGTTGTAAGCAATTAATCGCCGAATTTCACCGAGTCACTTCGATTTCTCGAAAAAATATTTAAAAAAATTTTTAGAAAAAATTAATAGACGTTGGACAACTTTTAACTTATTGCCAGCCTATTTGAAAATTTATGAAATCCTTGGTTTCTTGGTAATTTAATCTTTTTATGTAGTGGTTTTATCGATGAACATACTTATTCTCGTAATAAACCATTTATGAATATTATAAAATCAAAATTAAAAAAATTGGACACAATTCATCTGAATGTGGGACTATTTTACGAAAATAAGAGGAATTGCTACAGAATTGCAAGGAATTCTGTAAATGAATTACTTTTAACAGAGCACGATTTGGCCTTTTAGGCCCCCTGAACAACAATGAACCGAAAAATAATCTAAACAAAAACAAGCTCTTAAAATTTTGAATCGATTTCTCGTGAAAATGGTATAATGTGTTTACCGATATGATTAGTCCACATCCCTATTCGCGTCACTATGACAAGTGTCAAATTTGGCCTCTACAACTCCTAAAACTATAATTTGTGCACTATACTTGAAATTTGTTTTCAACTTCAACTTGTGTATCTATGGCTCCGTCGTGAGATTTGTTATGTTAGAGAATAGTATTCTGTGGTTCTGTCTGTCCAATGACGTAAGGGGTTCGTGTGTGGTTCTGTCAGATTCAGAATTAGTTGTTTGTGTTTGTGCAGATTTGGAACGTACTTATAACCTCGAAAACTTGTCCGAAACAGAAAATACATTAAATTTAATTGCGATACAACGATTCTTGCTCTATGGTATTACTAATTTTTCAAAATGAGTTCTAGTGATGACAGCAAAGAAAGTTCAGAAAAGCAAGAAAATGATGAAAGAGTAAGAATTTACTAATATATACTAAACAGTTTTTTACAATTTAATATAAGGATTAAGAGACTTGATAAATGCCGAATTCCGTTGCAGACCGCAATAAGAACTGAATTATCGACGCTATCATTTGAAGAACTTCAGAAATTGAAGGAAAGAATCGGCGCTAAGGTATATAATGAGGCTTTGTTTGGTAAAAATAATGCTGGAAAATCGAAAAAAGAACTGAAGGTTTTCAAACGTGAAAACAAAAACAGGCCACGCGAAGTGAGCTCTAAGAAGCCAGTGCCAATGTTTGATGTGCCTAAAGCAAAGACAAAGGAAGTTCGCGATCCAAGGTAAGTGTATTACAAAAAATAAACTTTTCGAGTTTTTGTTCTACTATCTAACACTTTTTAGACCTGTATTTGCTAGTGAGATAAGTTCAAATGTGCAAGCATCCTCCGCGAACACAACCACCCCCATCCTTTATAACCGTTTAGAGCAATCTATTTAAATATATTTGTTTTAGTATGAAAGTAAAATGTGATGAATTCTTAAAAGTATCAACAACAAAAGTTGTTGCTTATTATGTTAGTAATATAGTCCTGCCAAGTTGTTAGTATTTTGCAAATAACCCTGTATATATACGGGGTGTTATGTAGATAAACCAACAAAATTTTTTGGGAGTTTGAAGATCATTTGCTAACTGTTATCCGTTGACCCCACATTCTAGTTGCTATGTTAAACGCACTCATCATGGAAGAATGGCATAAGTGGAGTTACGTTAGAAATGTTTATTGCTCCATTAGACACAGAAAAATATAACCCACATCCTCTCCAATTCTTGTAACTCTATCCATTAATATTGTTAATTGAGTTGATGGTTTCTTTGGCAAGATCAAGACAAATTATCAATATTTTGTTCAGCAAGTTTTTCATATGAGATAACTTGAATGTTAAAGTTCTAATTTATATATACACTTAATATATACCTATATTATAACTTTGATAAATTTTAAGGAAATTAATGTGTTAAGTTGTGACATGTGGGACATGGTTTTGTGACGGGTGGGACGAGTTACAATTGAATACACAGAATTAATAAAATTACACTGTTTAATAAGAGATCCATCGTTAGTAAGCAAATATTTTATAATATTTGTCTTATTAAGACATATTAGCATAAAAAACAGAATTGAAGCATTGATAAAGTAATCCTACTATTTTTCTTGAAGCACTATCTTAGACGACAAGAAATCAAAGTCACACATGTAAAACGCGTTAATAAATTTGAACCCTGCCGCATCCTTGAAAACTATGTATCATATAAAAAAATATATCAAATTTTAGAAGTTTTGCTCGAATATATAGTTAAAACTAGTGGAGACAGACTTTTCATGAATTTCCTTTTACTAAAAACTATCAGGAAAAATGTTCTCACTTTTTAATTGTCTTTTTTTGTGTTATAATGTCTTAATTATGAGAAGAGTTATAAAAAAATTGCTTGTAAATGATGGATCTACATATGAACAGTGTATTTTTTCAAATTCTATGTATTCAAATGTAACTTGTCCCACCTGTCACAAAATGGTGTCCCAATCGTTACAATTTAACGCATCAAAGTTAAACTCCGAAATGAAAGCAACTGTTACACCTAGTAAACATCGCAAAAACTGGAATCCATAAAAATACAAGCATTTATTCACAGAAAAAAATGTTCAGAAGTGTATCCCACCCATTACTGTGACGGGTGGGACACACTTTCAAATCTTAATATTTACATTCCTATTTATGTGCACAATGACCAACCAAGATAAAATAGCATAATTATTACTTTTACAAAAGTAAATGCCAGTAGATTGCATATTTATTGGTTAAAATAAATATATATATATGTTTGATTGTGACGGGTGGGACTTGAAATTAGTATTTATTGAAACTAATAACTCCTCACCATATATACTTCCATGCAAACACTTATCACTATTTTAAAATTCATAAATTGTATTTTCTTCGACAGTAATAACTTTTTTAGAAAGACGCACAAATAACCGCGAAAATTGTTGTTAACATTATAAGAAAAAATGCTTCACTGTAGACGACGGCACTATGGCTGCGTTAATGAAGGCAAAAAATACAATAATTGTACAATATCCGAAAAAATCTCATTTATTTCTAATGATTTATTGGGCGTATTCTAGTCATACAATTAAAACCAAATTGTGTAATTTATTTTTTTGAACCTCGGTGTCATTTTCGCTGGAATGACCCTATTACAAATTTTGCTCAAATTATCCGCCTCTACTCTGCATGCATGCTCAACATTTCATTTTGTTTTTCACATTGACCTACCAAATGGTTTTTGACCTCAAATTTTTGACATTTATAATTAGAGTAAATTTTAACACATCTTGTCAATGAGAAAGCAAAAGCACTAAGACCACAGATTTGTATTTATGTACAGTATATAAGGTATCCATAGATCGGCCTAGAGATGGGAAAAACTGCTTATTTTTTTAAACGTTTAAACGGTACGGTTTTTTTTTAAAAAGCGTGCTTTCTTAAACGCCTTTTTCGTTTGAAGCTCAGAAGATCGTTTAGAAAACGTTTAAGCGCATAGACTTTTACGTTAAAAAAAAGCTTGCAACGTTGTGTTGATGGCGAAAAGCAAAAGTAGACCACTATTTTTATTTTTATATTAACATTTTGTTCATTGGCGTTTAAAAGCGTTCAAAAACATAACTTGTTTAACTTTGTGGTTGTTGTCCGTTGAAATGGAAAAAACTGCTTATTTTTTTAACGTTAAAACGTAAGTTTATGAAGCGTGTTTGTAAAAGCGCTTTTCACACGCTTTTTAGTTTGACGCTTAAAAAGTCGTTTAGAAAAACGTTTAAGCGCATAGACTTGACGCGACGATGAAATCGTCCTAATTTTTTCAAATTATCCATCAACCTTTTCAAAATAAATCGAGATGGTGTTTCTCTATCGGGATCATTGACTTGTCAATGATCGGGATACTGTTCGCGGTACCACTGCAAAGCTAGTGATATGTTTTTGTGGTTCATATAGTATGCTTCCATTAAATCCAAATTATGTTGATACGCCATGGTAAGTAAATTCACACAACAATTGCAATGCAAGAAATCGAAAAAAAAAAATCACTAAAAAAACAAAAGAATAGATATAGACGTTTGAAAATGGAACACATTTTCAAATTATTAT